ACAGACTTTACTGTCCCCTGGGACCCTGCACTCAAAGGAGATATGCAAAGCTGCACAGTTACCCACTCGACTTTACCACCATGGTTCCTTTTGCATCCCACAGACAGACTCTTTCTCACTAAAAATAAAGGTACTAAGAAATGTGTAAAGAGTCCAAAGTCCATGTGTGTCTTTCCTGAATGCCTAAGGGAAAAGCTACCTACAGTGAAGGCTGTCACCGCCCTGCTCTTCAGAAAGGCCATAGATAACTGCCTTCCTACCTGAATAGGTCCAGGGAATGTCTGTTTTGATGACCCACGCTGAATGTTCCAGTCTCAGCTGGAGAGCTGCAGCTGAAAGCAAAGGGAGGGTTGAACGTTCTCTAACAGCAGGAACTCCAAAGACTGATTTGCTGTGAATTCTTCTTGCCTGCTATTCAAGTGTATATATCTGGATGCAGCCAGAGAATCAGTCATTTTGGGCCAAGCACAAGAAAACTCCAACTACACTAGGAAGAACAGCAGAGGCGAGGGCAGTGGAACCGCTGTTCTTGCTTCTTGAAGCTGAAAGAAAGTCAAGAGAGCAGTCATTTAGACCTCTTTTGGCTGCCTAAACCTTCTGGCACTTGCTAACACAGCCTTTGCCCAGAAGAGCCGTTTCTTCAAGTCTGCCTACTACTTTGGCTTAGGTCCAGGCACAAACTCTCATTCCTGAATGATTGTTTTGTGCTGAAAGGTTGCATTAACACACTATTGTTCAAAGAAAGAAAAGCAAGAGTCCTGTGTTCATGGTGGGCTCACAGAAGGACAGGGCTGTGGAACAGGCCCAGTGAGGTCTTCCAGCACAGAATAGTTACCTCTGTAGCCAGGATGCTCACAGTGTGTGCTTTGCCAAAGGATACCTTTCCTCCCTTCTGTCACAGGAGAGAGAGCACGACTAAAGCAGGGATAGTTTTGTCCTGAGGCTTGAAATGTAGCAACCTTGCAAGCCACCAGAATAAATATCTGAATTCAAACTGCCTGCAGATCTCATCTGTCCTTGCAGTAGAAATGCTAGGGACCCAAATGCTTGTGTCCTATGACATCCTTGCAATGGCAGATGGGATAAATGGAGGCTGTAAAGAACCCTGAGACCTGCTGTGTATCAGGTGGATTCATCTTTAGTGAGCTACAGGGTGCTCCCAGGTTTCACGACAAACAGATGTAAACTGGGCCATGTGGCTCTCGTAGGCGAACACAGCAGGCAAGCTACAGATTTGGCCTTGAGTGTGGCCCCATGTAGGTGCAGCTGGTGAGGGCTGCTTGGGGTACTTGAGACCGGACTGTCCCGCGTCCCCCCCTGCGTGAAAGGTTGTATACAATACCTTCCACAAGCTGGCAGTGGTACTTGCTGTAGTTCCCCACAGAATGCAGGTGCAGCCGGTTACCGTGCTCTGTCCGAAAGAAGCTTTTGACAAGGAATATCTCGTAAGGGGGAATGAGGACTTCCTTCTCCGATGTGTAGTAAGAAAAGCCTTGCACAGCTGCTCCTAGGCAAGTGGTCACTGTGAACAAAGTTTCATTCCCAAACTTCTGGGCTTCATTCCAGAGGCGGGAGGTGGAGGTGAAACGGCCAAATCGCACCCTGCTGCCTACCATGGCCTCAATATATAAGTTTTTTACACCCCTATGCACCCGGTAACACTTACGTTTTCCCATGCTCTCCTTGCTGCTCTGCCATTGCTTCATTATCTGGATAGCAGTCGTTAGGTAAAAGTGAAAATATTTGAAACTGAAGTTGTGTCTGTAGTGCTCTGGAGAGCTTCCTGCTGTAGATGTGGCCCAGTTCAGCTGAGAATGGAGGGAAGAGTTCATGGTGTAAGCCATGAGGACTATGGCATGGCTCTCATGCATCTCCCTCAGGAGACCTACAGGGCTCTTTAACAAAGCCTCCTGAGCCTTCTTCCAGAGACTCAAATAGTCCTTGTTAGCAGCTATTTCCTTTTGGAAATAGTCTCCTCGCTCCAGTTCTTCCATCACCTGCTCTCTGCACCCCAAATACTGGTCATCAAAGGAATGCAGAGCCATATCCATCATGAGGTGGGACACAGCCTGCAACATAAAAGCAAATGAAGACTAAGATCAGAATTGTGAACTTTTTGTGTATCTCTATAGATGCAAGCCAGTTTTTTCCTACTGTCTTCTTGCCTCTTTGCCATTATTGGCAGAGCAAGCACAGCAGGTAGGCATCTTTGACAAGACCTTCCTGAGCAACCTCAGGTTATTGTCCAAGCCCCACCTCAGGCAAATGCCTGCCAGGATGCCAGAGTTCTATTCTATGTGGATGAGTAGCATTAAAAACTTCAGGAGAGTTTGCCCTTCAGAGTGTGAGAATATAGAGCCTGCAGGACAGACCCATGGTCCATTTATTTCAATATTCTGCTCATGATTAGTAAGTGGTTTTGAAGAGAGAAGGAATAAGCAAAACAATGTGCTCAGGGCAGTGCAGCCTGAACACATCTCAGGGGTGAATATCTTCTTCCTGTCTTGTCACACCTCTCGGACATGTTTTGGCTCCAGAGAATGATGTTCAGTACTACAATATAGTAGCACTGTAACAAAACTTTCATTCATCCAGTTTGTCTTAGTGAGGCTAGCTGGGCTTGTCATGTAAATAAACATTAAACACACGAGTAGGGATTTACACAAATGGATGCTATAACAGGAAAATAACCTCTAATATATCCTGTCTATGAAATGGCATACTAATTATCTGTTTCTAGCATTTCTAATTAATAAAAACCTAAGAAATAGTGTGATTGTTCTTTTTGCTTTTTGATCTCCTAATAGACTAATCAAGTACTGTAGTCAGTTGATAGTTAGTTGAATTCTACAAGTAGATATACACTTAATGTCAAATATTCAACCTTGACACATAACCGAATTGATACCTTTATTAGCCTCTGAAGTTATACTGGCCTATGAACTATGCAGGAATTCAGCTTATTTCTCCGTGACACCATAATTGCTTTGAAAGAAAGCTAAAAGGTAGTCACAGATAATAGAGCAGTATTGTCACTGTCCTGTTCAACAACACACTGCTTTTGTCAGAGCCTCAACTGAGACAGGCTGGAAAATGAGAGGAACAATTCCATGAGATCTACTCACAAACACACCCTGGGAAACCATCTGGCTCCAAACGAGAGGAAATTTCCAACCAAGTAGTTAAAAGAAATTAGGACAAGTAAGAAAAGGAATAGAGCAACTGAAAGCAGAAGAGTTTAAGCTGAACCCAGAGCTCCTTAAAGAACACGCTTCAAATTAAAAAAAAGAAAAGAAAAAAAAAAGGTTTATTTCAGTAGGATGAGCAATTTCACCATTTCAAATAAAGAACAATGTTTACCCCCTCTTACCAGCCTTTGCAAGGAGATCAGCAACAGAAGGCTGGCCAGCAGCACTGGCATCCTAGAGTCCACCCAAGACACTTCAAAGAACATTGAGCTCAAGCAGAGGTCATTTACATCTGTTTCTTTCCCTTTTTTCTGGAAAATTCTGCAGTTTGTAACTTGCACTCAGGTTTTGGTGACAATTCTTCAACCAAAGATCATTCACCAGATTCTTAAAGCAATTCAGAGGTTGTTAATCAAACCAAACAGACGATTTACTGGTAGAAGTGTGTCCACAATCCATAAGGAAGGATCTGATTGTGTCAACTCCAGCTGGTGTAGATGTCTGTCACCTTGACAGTTCTCTTAATTCCAAGGTATCTGGTGTTCCTGTTCTTGCAAAAAGGAAGAAAACTCTGGCTTGGAGAAGTCTAAGGCAGTTCTCTCCTGAGGAGTGATGTGTCAGGATGAGGTGGAGAACGCTCCCTGGTCAAGAACTTAAAAAGCCCTTTTAAAGAAGTGCAGAGCTCTGATAAAGCCGACACAGAAATGCAGGGTAGGTTGGGATCCCATCTGGAAGCAGAGATAATGTAACTGTCCATCTCCTCCTTAGCTCCCCCTGGTTTCTAATAACGTGCTGCCAATCCTACCCTTACACCACTGCAGAGTGGCACCTTGTTGAACTGTTTACATTGGGTACACTCAAGATCAGTGTGTAAATACAGATTCTAACCCCTCTCTAGTAGCTGCTTTCCTTCCAAGTGACGGCAGTGAGTTACTCACCTGCGAAGCCCCATGGCCATTTTCCATTGCCTGCTAGTGATAGGCTGGGTGAGGGGTTCACCTGCAGACATGGTGTGATTCCCTGAGAAAAGAGGAATCTTGTGCAGCTGCTTGGATTCTGTGGACAGAGAGCATTTGCCGAATATTGCTGAAATAGGGTGAGAGAGGACACAAAGGTCTCATACTGCATTGCTTTCAAAGTGATCTATAACACTGCACCAGATGATGCTGCTGACAGTATCTGCAGCCACTGGTGATACAAGATGATGACACGAAGGATGATGCGAAGTGATAAATTCCTTTTTGGAATTGCTCTACTATCTTGGGCTGTATTTCAGAAAGCAGTTCTTCAACTGCTAAAAGTGAGTCCAGAGAAGAGGTTCTGAATTTACTCAGAGGCATCTCCTCTCCTGTTCCTGTAGAGATAAAAAGAAGCTAAAGTGTGACAGGCTCCAGCAGGAACTTGACAATCAGGATAAACAACCCCACTAGAATGTCAACTCAGCTGCATATAATCCAGTTGCAGATTATGTCGCTTACCTATTTTTCCCTTCTGGCCTCTTAACGTATGTTGTAGTATGAAGTGAATGAGGAAGAAAGCCACCTGAATTTATATTTTCAAATGCTTCAAAAGCAACGGATCAGGTGACCCGCCTAGTGGATGAGGGAAGGGCTGTGGATGTGGTCTACCTGGACTTCAGCAAAGCCTTCAACACTCATTCCCACATCTCCCACAGCATTCTCCTAGAGAAGC